GCTTGCGCTGGTCAGCAACATCTTTCTGACTCTTCTCCAACTCCTCAGTAAGCTTGGCCAGACGCGACTGCATAAAGGTAAGGTCCTCCTCGTTCAGCACAAGGGTCGTCGTGAACGTCCACATCATCGCAGCCAAATCCTCCGCCAGGATACGTCGACGAGATTCTCGATCGGCCTCGCGAACAGCCTTTACCTCCCCTGCAGAGACCGTAGGAGATCGAGCACCATGAAAATAGCCCGGATGCTGATGGCAAGGCGGGACGACATAACCCTCCTCGGCCGAGCCGGTCGTCAGATCGATCAAACCCCTGGGCTCCTCGGATCTCGGCCTTTTCGCTGCTCCCTGAGACGTAGGAGACTGACTCCCTTGAGGCGAAGAAGACGAACTCTGCCCTCCCGGCGTCACAGCCTCCTGTACAACCAATTGACTCACCCGCGTCTTCGGGACCACGACATTCCTGGAAGCGTGCAGCATCTTCACTCGCTCCTCGACAGAAGACATGTTCGCTGCAAAAACAAAGAAAGAGTTAGCAACGGCCAAAAAACCTGACCACGGGGAAAAAAGAGCATCCCTACCTAGATAATCCAGAGCGGCCGCCCCAGGGCGCAACCGAGCAGGGTCTTAGTGTTAATCAGCCGCTTCTTGGTTCGCACGTTCCCCTGCGCGTCGAGGATGTACCGACCATCGGGCGTCACCAGTTTCGACGGGGGAAGAGCCCGCACAAAGGCAACTATTTTCAAATAAGCGTCCATATCTTTCTCGTCGAGGGTCCCCGCTCGTACGATATACCTATCCGTACCACGGTTGAAGTGCTCCGCGGTCCATAACAGATGTATCTTGGGAAGCCACGCGAGGAACCGCTGGCCGTCTACCATTCGCTCGCCCTCGGCGAAAAGAGTATCCGAGCCTTACTGAGTGATCAGTTTAACGAGGAAGAACCGACCTTTGAAATCTTTAACGGAGTCGTTGTACGTCTTGAAGAGCTTGGTCGGCTGCTTAAACGAAACCCATCCTTGACGGCCGTTCACCGACTGACGCTGTAAATGGAAGATGCGAAAAAACAACGGCACCGTGGGCTCCACCTCGAGATAGAAGCACACCACCTCGAAGGCACGAATAAAGGCCAAGGCGTTGGGGTGCAGTTGGGACGGGGCCAAGGCTAACCAATCGAAGAGCCCCAGATGAAAGGCGGAGAACGGCAACCTGAGTCGAGCCTCTTTGAAGTAGAACTCGTGCATGGGGAACATCTGCCGCCCATATCGCGAGCAGATACCATGGTGTTCCTTCGGGCGGTACACCTGCCAATGTTGCGGCTCCCCGACAGGCGTGTCCTCGACGGTGGCATAGACGTCGGACGCATCGGCCACGAAGCAGGACGGGGTGGACAGCGGCTCTTCGGCCATCCATTCCTCGACCGGGGCGACACGTTCGTCAAAATCCGGGACCTCGGGTTCGTTATCTTCGACCATCGTCCCCGGTACCAAGGCCGACATCTACACCTGAAAAGCAGAGGACAACGGTGAATTCGATAGCCAAGATCAAATCCACCCTTCCACCGCAGGTCAAGTGAAAGGGCGACAAAGGCCGGAGAACAGCGAGCAAACAGGCGCCCCCCGCCGATCCTCCTCGGGGCGTCTCAGGGCCAACCCACCATCCCTCCGCGGGATGTTTATCGGAAAAAGCGCGCGTCCCCGGGGCATTCATCGGAGATAGCCCCCGTCCTCGGGACATTCATCGGAACAACCGACTCTCCCCGGGGCATTCATCAGAAAATCGCCAGATACGGCAGATCTTGCGTCCCTCCTCGGGGCATTCATCATGCCCCGACCACACATTCTAATCAAGTGGCGGAAATAAAAAAAGAAGAGAAAGAAAAACTCACTTGTAACGGCGGCGAACGGGAGGAAGAACCAAACGGTGCGGCGGCGATCGACGGCAGCGGCGGATGGGCAAGGATCCCAGAGCTCCACAGGTAAAATAGTAAAGTGAAAAGTAAAAAAGTGAGCGGGGACCCCCATATTTATAACCCGGTGCGGGATTCGAAGCGACGCTAGGCTCATTAATGACATAGGGTAGCCGCCCCTACGACCGCTTAACGCGCGACACGTGGCGGCAACCTGACAGTCGCGTCCCTTCACCTGCTCTCACCCCGCTCCGCCGGCGACGGGAGACCCCCGCACAAGCGCCCGCTCTACCGTGCACAAAACCCCGACGAACCTCCTGTTTCGCTACCTCTCTCCCCGACACAGCGACCTTAAGTCCTCGCACATTCCCAGAGCTTCGACTTGGGGGGCTCTTGTTCTGGTCTGGGCCCAACCTCGGTCCAGCCCAATACCACGCACAGCCCAGTAAGTGAGCTAGCCACACCGGGCACGCGCGTCCCACAAGACGGGCAGGGCACGCCCATCCATAGGCGACGCGTTCGACGGCTTCTCAACGTCTTCTCTTGTCGGCCGAACAGGACACACCCCGGTGCGTCGAGGCGAGGCCTTTGGTTCCTCCCCGTCCTCGCGTTCCCCTCCGCGGGGAGACCAACGCCCACCGGGGAACCTCGCGAGCTCCCCTCCGCGGGGACACGCCATCAACCAACTGCCCACCTCCGAAAGAGCAGGTCAAACCCACTTTCCGGAGATCTAGGAGCAGTTGGACTAGGGCGAAGACCACGTCCTGGTCTTCACTATGCCACGTAAGCCCTAGCAGTCATTAGGGTTGGGCCTGGTCATCCAGCCCATCTCAAATGACCGTTGGCCCAGCGCTGGGGTCTCTCTATAAATATCCTCTTTCTCAAGAGGGTCAGGTAACACACTTCTTACCCCTCTTTCTGTACTTCGCCACCGCTCTGCCCAACTTCCCACTTTGGCATCGGAGTGTTTTGCAGGTACACCCCCCTTTCTCTTCCTCATCACCGACGAGCAAGTAGCAGTCCAACAGAGTGTGGTCAGCCCGTGATCCCCTTCTGATCAGGTCAGATCAATTATAAATAGCATACTGGTCTCTCATCTTAAGTGTGACGAATTTTAATTAGGGTGAGAGGGTTATTTGTTATTCTTGAATACTTGTAATCTGATTTAAAGAGAAAGTAAGAATATCAGCTATAACCAATCCTTGTTGTTCTTCTTGTTTTCTTGTTAACCCTAATCCTTGTGTGTTTCTTACCGATAAAAAAAATCGTTTATACTTTATTTCAAGGCATCATTTTTCACAACAAACAACTTACATGTCATTAGGAAAATCTTGCTAACATGTTTGCACTATTTCTATTACATTTTAGAACCTAGATATCACCATCGTTTGCTTGCTTCATATCTCAAAGTTCTTGCAATAAAAAACAAAGAGTTTTCTAGTTTTCTACTAAAATTGTTTTCAAAGTTCTCCATAGAACTTGTCATGTTTCCTCAATGAACAAGTTGAATGAACACTCAATCTTGAAAACTGTTTGAAACCCAAAAGTTTGAGCCAAAGAGTGAGAGAGAGATTAATTTGTATTTACTACACTTCACTTGTTTGTGTCCATTCAAACCAATGATATAATTATCTATACTACACTAATTAGACTTACGAATAGTAACAAGATCCAGCAACTTAATCAATTTAATTTGTTAGTTAGTTGTATAATAAATAATTTAACTAATTTACTACTAGATTTGAATTACACTTCAAAGGAAAGACAATACTAGAACTTCTTTGTTGATTAATCTATAAATATATTTGTAAATGCTCTATAAGTCTCTGAGTTCTCTTTAGCTCGAGTAAACTCTAGAACTCTAAGTCCCCTAAAAAACTCATAAAAAAAACTCAAAATATTTATACAAAATTCATGTGTACTATTAATACTAACAAATCAAATCCATAATTAAAGGAAGCAAAGCCTGAATTAAGGCAATCAAATTTAAATCAAACACTTGATATAAGTGATCCCATTGAAATCATTGATTAAACAAGAATAGTCCTTGATTCTGGCAAAACATAAAGAAAGGTGCATGATTATAGAAAAAGAAAGTTTGACAATTTGAATCATAAATAAGAGTCTATATCATTCAAAAAGTAGAAACCACCACAGTACATACTACTTATTATATTCCACCACACACAAAAAAGCATGACCATAAAGAAAACCAAAAGAAACTAATATAGAATTATATTTAATAATGGAAGATAAAAAAATTAAATAAAAAAGTTAAATATTTAGCATCATAGTCATCATTAAATTAAAGTGAGTGTACCATAGGCAACAACATCATTAATGAAAAAATAATATTAATGCTTATGTAGTCAAAATAGACACTTGTTTATTCTTCTCTCTTCTCTCTTCTATCTTCTCTCTTTCCCTTTTCCTTTATATCATTCATTCATAAAGTAAAGCTAACACATAAAGCCATCCCACAAACTAAACAAAAACATTCTTTCTTGCACTAAGTAGAGCAGGTGCAGTCTTGTAGACAAACAAGGTGAATCCTCTCTCTCTCTCTCTCTTCTTTTGTTTGAATTCATGGCTAGCCATAGAAAGGTAGATATGGATTTTTCATGTGTCTTTTCTTTGATATTTATTCTGGGTTTTAGGGTTCTTCCAAAGCTGACACATCTAGATTTATGTGATGTTACTTGTTTGTTGTATCTTTGATTTTCATTTTTCTAGCTATACCTAGTTGATTATATATATATATAAACTCTACTTTTCCTTTTCCTCTTTCTCTTTACCTTTACCTTTTTTTCTCTCATATTATTTTTAAACAACATGCATAGAAATAAAAGATGATACTACAGATATTTGTGAGACTAATCATGTCTAAAAATTCATGTAAACATGATATTAATAACATCATGCTCTTGAAATATTTTTTATATATATTCTATGGATGTGATTCTATTTGTTGTGAGAAACTTTGATGATCTTAATTTTCATGTATTATTTTGGAGTATTTCCTGTATTATTTCTTTTCTATGGATTCATCATGTGACATGATGAACACTATATATAAGTATAGGTATTCATTCACTCATGGAAGGGATAGGTCCTAATTCATGTCCAAGGCAAGGGTTAGAGAAGAAAGCAAGGCCACAAGAGCAAATAAATTGTCCAAGGTGCAATTCAACCAACACAAAGTTTTGTTATTACAACAACTATAGTCTCACACAGCCAAGATACTTTTGCAAGACATGTAGAAGGTATTGGACTGAAGGAGGATCTCTAAGAAATGTTCCTGTTGGAGGTGGTTCAAGAAAGAACAAGAAAGTTCCTTCTTCATCATCATTAGCCAATCCTAATAATAGTAACTCATCAAAAATTCCTGACCTAAATCCACCCACCCTTCAAGTCTCACATCTTTCATCTCAAAACCCTAAAATGCATGGAGGTCAAGATCTTAACCTAGCTTTTCCATCTATGGAAAACTATCATCATCATCCTCATCATCATAATCATCATGGTATGTCATCATCATATATTGAGATGCATAACAATAATGAATCATCATCTTCTTCAGCTCTTGACCTACTTAGGTCTAGCATGGCATCTAGAGGCATTAACCCTTATGGTAACAATACTAATAACTCTTTGATGCCAAACTCAAATGCTATTTACCCTTCTGGATTTCCCATGCAAGAAGTTAAACCTAGTCTTGGATTTTCAATTGATGGAATGAATGGAAATAGAACATATGATCATGTTCAAGTCCAAGAAGGTGGCGACGGCGGTGGTGCCGGTGGAAGACTCTTGTTTCCTTTTGGAGAGGTTAATAAACAGCTTTCTACAAGTGGTGTTGAAGTGGAACATAATAAAGATCAACAAGGAAATTCAACTGGATATTGGAATGGAATGATTGGTGAAGGATCATGGTAATTAAGAGGAGAAGATAAAGAAGTTGAAGGTCAAGGAAAGTGAGAAAAACATCATGCATTATCTTCATTTCTCTATTTTTTTTCTCCTTTAAGGATATCATTTGTCTTAAGTTGTTCAAAACTAACAATAGAATCAATGAGCATGCACTACTCGAAAAATCAAATTAGCGACGAAAAATTATAGACAAAAAGATATAAAATCTGTCTCTAATTTTCTCTTAAATATTATTTAAGATGTTAAAATTAGAGACAGATTTATATTTTTCTTTCTCTAATATTTCGACCTAAGATTTATTTTCATTAGTAGTGATTATTTTACTTTGTTTTGTATACAATTAATACCTTTGGTATTAATTTGAGTAATGTGAGGATTGTTTTCATATATGTAGAGAGATAGAAGAATAGGTGAATATTGGATCTTGTTTATGTCCATGGCATACATGCAACCTGTATTCATGAATTCTTCTTTAAGAAGTAGATTGGTTTGATTTATATGATCTTTTTCGAACAAATATTAATAGTTAGTGAGTCCTGATCAATTGGAATAAATTTCTCAAACTTTTTTTTTTACTATCACAACTCAATCATCGGTAACAATAATCAGATTTATTTCAAATTTTTAGAGATTCAGTATAGATTAGTTTCGGTTTCAGTTTAACCGAAGTCATATTTAAAGGCGATATTCATGAGGTTATTTTTAATCATAACACATTTGAATGTTCCTATAACTAACATAGTTGGATTAATAGATATGATGAAAATTTGCAAGTGCACAACCATAATTATGAAGAAAAAAAATTGATTTGCTTTGTACACTTTTTCCAGCTACTCTTTCTATGAATGTCTCCCTTATAAAAATAAATAAATGAGTGGGTTGGCAGCTTTGTTGTCAAAATGATCACATCTGAGATTCTTCCAACTATGAAACCACTTGATAGCATTATTCAAAAGAATAAATAGTAAAAGAATAATGAAAAGGAAGGACAAGAGAGTTTTGTAAGATCTCAGTGTTTTAGCTGAATAAGGAATTAATGTCACACCCACTTTTAATGCTAACTATATAATTATAAACCAATTTTTAATGACATGTACTATAAGATTAAGATCATATAATTAGTAAATTAGACAAATCTTGAGAATTGGATTACCTGCCCCAACTAAAACACTAACCCTATTAGTATATATATTATTGTCTTCCACTTGAAGATTAAATTTAATTTGAGCAAGACTTCAATTTCATGAGAGGGTTCTATGTCATTCATCCACTATAATTAATTAATACTAGTATAGGAAAATTTGTGAAGTTATAATTTGGTTCGGTATTTTTGTGGGGCCTACAAACATTCCTTTGGAACAAGTAGAAACTATTTCTTCCACTAGCTAGGTCAATGGCTTCACATGTGAAATACTACATACTATTTTTCTTTATCATCTTGTGTTTTTTTTTTTACTTTGAATGACTTATTGTTGATTCAAGTGATTTTTTTTTTAACTTATCAATAATTTATTTCCATTAATACAAAATAAATAAATGTTGTTGTCATGGATTGAACAATAGATTAATAGTTTACACTTATTTAACTTAATTAGCATATATTAACTACTCCACTCACTCTCGTGTTAATTCAAGTGGTTATAGTGTTAATTCAAGTGGTTATAGTTTTATATTGATAGTAAATAAGTTAAATGGTTTATAGAAAAAGTGATTTACATATCTTATTCTTAAAATTTTTGGAGATATATGGAGTATTTGTCATTTTTTTTAAAGTGGTTTAATTGATCAAAAAGGTAAGTTTGTGTAGATAAGTGTCACATTGCTTATAAATAGTTAGAATGTTGAATTTAAAAGAGAGGATATTTTGGGGTCCGGTTTTCTTACTTTCTTCCATAATGATCCTTGGTTAGAGAGCGTTTTCTTTAAGTCAAATTTATTAGTTTGTTCTCCGGTTATCTCCAGTCTGAATGGTTCGTGTGTGAGATAAAAAAGTTATTAATAGGATCTTCACCTGATATCCTAGACGACGAAGATCTTTTTTCTTAGAAAGTTACATGTTTTTCATGAGTTTCTTTCTTTGTTTAGAGAGTTCCTTCTTACCCTAGACAAAGATAAATGAAATTTGAAAAATATTATAGTGAAATTACTTTTTCAGTGGCCTTTACTTATCTTTGTTGAGATATTAGATATAATCCAAGTTGTATTATGTGGCCCAAGCTCAAAGCTCATTAGTAGGGTTTGTTATTTTAGTGTATATAAATAGACACTTTGTAATTCAGTTTTATTCATTCAATAATCTCAATCATTGTTTCTTTAATTTCTCTCTTTCTCTCATCACTAAAAGTATCTCACACACTAACAAATTAGTATTTAGAGCTCCGGTTAGATTTTTGATCGTGTTTTTAAGAATCACACGTCAGAGATCATGCTTATAGAATAGTGGGTTATTGTTGATCAATCGCTGCAAATATGAATGGTAGCGAAAATTTACCAAACTCCCTTCCAACTCTTGACGGCAAGAATTGGCTCTGATGGAGAAAATAGATGCAATCTCTATTTGGCTTTCATGAAACCCTAAAAGTGGTTACGAATGGCGTTCCTACGCTTGGTGAAGATGCAACCGACGCACAGAGAATCGCTCACAAGGAAGCTAAGAAGAAGGTTTGCAAGGCAGCATTCTACATCCAATTGGCGGTTGATACGACTAATTTTGGCATAACCACTCATGCTGAATTGGCGAAGAAGGCGTGGGACATTCTTGTCAAGTACTATGAAGGAAGCGAGAATGTTAAGGTTGTCAAGTTGCAAACTTTTCGACGACAATATAAATTGTTTTCATTGAGAGAAGATGAAAAGATTGCAGGCTATGTGTCGAAGGTGCAGAAACTCGTCCATCTCATGAAGGGTTGTGGTAAAACCCTAACTGATAAGATGATAGTTGAGAAGGTAGTGCGTACGTTAACCTTTCACTTTGATCACGTTATCGTAGCTATTTAAGAATCCAACAAACTTGAAATCCTAAAACTGGAAGATTTGGTTGGTTCGTTGGAAGCGCATGAGATTAGGATTGTCAAAAGGAAATGAGTTCAAGACTTAATACAAGCACTACAGACTCAACAATGGAAGAAGAATGATGGTTCCAACAAGTTCAAAGGCAAAATCAACAAGACTCAAGGCAAGAAGTCTTGGTCGAATTCTCACAAGAATAAGATCAATTATAGAACTTATGAATCCTCGAAAATAGGAGAAGGAAACTTCTATCAGAAAGAAAAAGTAGAGAAAAAAGGTGTGCATTGCTATAACTGTGAAAAGTTGGATCACTTGGCCAAGCATTACTGGTACAAGAAAGACAAGGGTTCGACAAAAGACAAGGAGGAAGGAGCAAACCTTGTGCGTCAAGATTCAGATGATTATAATGATATGGTGGTTATGGCTGCAGTTGCAGATGACCATGTCAAATCCAAGATCTGATTCCTCGACTTAGGCTGCTCAAATCACATGACTGGTCAAATAGTATGGTTAGTAGATTTTAACGAGTCAAAGAAGAGCAAGGTCAAAGTTGCTGATAATAGCTTGTTAGAAACATAAGGTATTGGAAACATAGTTATTCAAAGGAGTAATGGAGAAAAAGCCTTGATCAAAGATGTATTCCATGTCCCTGGAATGAAGTGCAATCTGCTAAGTATTAGACAACTGGTCGAAAAGGGGTTCTCAGTGGTTATGAAAGATGGAGCCTTAGAACATTTCGACATCCAGAGTAACTTGGTCTTGAAATCTCTTATGTCGAAGAACAGAATATTTAAGACCATGATCAGTTCAACTGAGGTACAATGTCTGAAAACAGTTGTCGACCACAAGAATAATTGGTTGTGGCATCTGAGGTTTGACCATCTGAACTTTAAGTCGTTAAATCAACTGATCACTCACGATATGGTAATTTTTATACCAAGCCTCGAGAGGCCCGACAAACTCTGTAAAGGATGAAATATTTGAAGATATGCCCGAAAAGGACGAAGTATTTAAAATCTTTAAGACATTTAAGATACTTGTCAAAAACTAGAGTGAAAAGAAAATTAAAGTTCTATGAACAGGTGGAGGTGGCGAATATACATCCAAGATATTTGAAGCATTTTGTGCAGAACATGGTATTGATCATAAGATAACTTCTTCGTATACTCCTCAACATAATGGAATAGCAGAAAGAAGAAACATGACCATATTGTACATGGCGGAATGCATGCTGAATTAGAAGCATTTGCAAAATCCTTATGGGGTGAAGCTGTTTTGACTGTTGTTTATATTTTGAACAGATGCCCTACCAAGAAGCTGAAGAACAAGGTTCTTGAAGAAGTGTGGAGTGACAAACGACCATTAGTGAGTCATCTAAAGGTGTTTGACTCTATTTGCTACAAGCATATTCCTGATGCTAGGAGAAGGAAGCTTGATGATAAGAGTGAACCTGTGATTCTGGTAGGATATCATAAGACTGGAGCGTACAGGTTATTCAATCCAATAAATCAGAAGATTGTGTTGAGTCGAGACATAGTGATTGATGAAAATTATGTATGGAATTAGAATTCTAGTAATGCAATTGACAAGCCACTGATAAGCTATTATTTCGACGAAGCAAGTAATGATGACGAAGTCGAAGAATTTGTTTATACTCTAGTCGAAGAAGAAGTCGATGTAGTTGCTGACACTCTCGACACAATCAAATTCGAAAAGGATATGGATGGCATAAGTCAGAGACCTCAACAAGCTAGAGCTTGTCCTGCAAGACTTCAAGACTATGAAGTGGATGGTGATGATGAAGTCACAATAGATGGGGAACTAGTTCATTTTGCTTTACTTGAAGGTGATGAACCAATCAACTATAGCGAAGCCTTCAAATATAAACAATGGAAGTCTACTATGATTGAAGAGTTACAAGCAATTGAAAGAAGCAACACATGGGAGTTGGTCGAATTGCCAGCTCATACAAAAGTTATCGAAGTAAAGTGGTGTTC